CAAATTACTTTTGTTGTCAGGACGGTCCACAGATGCTACGTGCAAAATTTCGTGCGAATCGGACAAAGTGTGTAGGAGGAACACGAAACAGTCATTTATGGACATTTTGCGCTCTAGAAAAAAAAAAAATCTAGGCGGAAGTGGGCGTGGCCTATATGGGGAGGTTCAGCTCCATTCACCGAACGCGTGGATATAAGGTTTTTGAATGTGAGACAAACTATGCGGGAGTTATTAGCGTATCGAAATTGGCCTACAAATAGCGCCACCTAGTGGCCTTCCTAGTGGCTGATCTGCATGTGACGCATAGAATCTCCGAATTTAAATGAGGCTTGACAAATGTGCCAAATAAAATGCGAATATTCGAAATTGTTTAGGGGGTGAAAAATGCGCTCAAAGTTCTAAAAATAATAATAAAATAATAATAATAAACATAGGAAAAACAATATGGACCTTCCAGTTCATACTGGCTCGGTCCCTAATTAAAGCTGCAAGCAGCGTTGGGCGGGACCTCGCACCCGGCGCTCGTCGGGGCGCGCCGCAAACGCGTCACGTGCGGTCGGGGTGCGCCGAGGCCACGCCACGTGCCGTCGTAACAAGCGCGGACCGCAACGCGAATACGTCACGTAAATCTGCTCCAAATCAGCTCCGTATCGCCACGCAGCGCTTCCTTCCTGTTGCCAGTATGCTGTGCTTTCACTTTATCTGAATCTTGTCACGTAGACAAGTTCAGGGCGGGACTGTAATACGTAGGCTGATGTTATGAGGACGCGTTCAGGGCGAGACTGTTACAGAATATATGAAGTTTATTGGAAATTGGACATTGCACACTGAAGTTATGAGTACCGCTTAATGGAAAATCATCTGAATTCGACAAGGGGTCAGTGGCACGCAGTTTGACGTACAGTCACAAATAGCTCAATTCTTCATGTACACTTTGTTTTTATAAGACTGTCCAATTTTGAAGTCGATTTGATAAGTCCCCTATTTATCTTGCAATTTAATAAGTGACTTCCAGCGGTTTCACACTATGCTCCACGAACAATACTCCCTAGGAAATATGGTTTGTAGATGTGGCTAGTGGGAGCGGAGGGGTGTTTGTGTTTCATCACTTTGAAAAAAAAGACCACAGAATTCAAAATGTCCAACTTTGACGAGACACCTGGGACACGCCCTTCAACGTACAGTCATAAATAGCACAACTTGTAATCAGCAAGATTATTCAAGAGTACTGTCAAGTTTTGAAGCAGATCTGATAAAGTCTCAAGGAGTTTGTTTGTTCAAATACAGGACCACGGGCTTCAAAATGGCCAACTTTGACGGCACGCCACGGACACGCCCTTCAACGTACAGTCAAAAAATGAAATGCGTTCATTCAGCACCATGTTGTGACTGTACTGCCCAATTTTGAAGAAGATCCGTTAGAACGTGTAGGAGGAAATCATTCAAATAGAAGCCCTGAAAGGCCAAAATGACATCACAGTGTGACATTTGTTCTAAATGGCCAACTTTGAGGGCACGCCACGGACACGCCCTTCAACGTACAGTCACAAAATATATTGCTTTCATTCAGCACCACGTTGTGACTGTACTGCCCAATTTTGAAGAAGATCCGTTAGAACGTGTCAGAGGAAATCATTCAAATAGAAGCCCTGAAAGGCCAAAATGACATCACAGTGTGACATTTGTTCTAAATGGCCAACTTTGAGGGCACGCCACGGACACGCCCTTCAACGTACAGTCACCAAATATTTTGCGTTCATTCAGCCCCATGTTGTGACTGGACTGCCCAATTTTGAAGAAGATCCGATAGAAGCTGTAGGAGGGGATCATTCAAATAGAAGCCCTGAAATGCAAAAATGACATCACAGTGACATTTGTTCTAAATGGCCAACTTTGAGGGCACGCCACGGACACGCCCTTCAACGTACAGTCACAAAATATAATGCGTTCATTCAGCACCATGTTTTGACTGTACTGACCAATTTTGAAGCAGATCTGATAAATTCCCTAGGAGCAGTTAGTTCTAAAACAAGCCCAAAGAGTCAAAATGACCACAAAATGGCCGCCAAAAGTGCAAATTTTAAATGAAAATAGCCGACTTCCTGTGGGATTTGAGGTATGGGTCCAAGAGGCTTTTTTGTACGCCCCGGCACATTATACATGCCTATTGAGTTTCGTACATGTCGGTGAAACGTGGCGCCGGGGCTGATGTTTTTTTATCCTGTAGGGGGCGCTACAAGCAGGACAAACAGGATTTTTGGTATGTGAGCTTCAGGCACCACTCTACACGTACCCTGTGAATTTCATATTCATAACTATTACGAGTGATTTATCATGCCAAAAGAGCACCACCTAGTGGCGTATTTTTTTGTCCTTTTTAGGTGAGCCTCAGGGAGCCATGGGGAAGCAGCGTACCAAGTTTCATCTTAATCACACATACCGTTGTAGAGCTATAAACTCCTTCATTTTAAAGAGCGCCACCTTGTGGTGATGACCTGAAATTGTGCACGATGCTTAAGGAAGACATGGGGAACTATGGACCCAAGGTTGGTGTAAATCGGACATACCAATGTGGAGAAATACCCCACTTCCTTTTTTGACGAAAAATCAACAGGAAGTGCTAATTTTATAACTTCCTTATGTTTTATAATATCAAAATTCTTCAAATTACTTTTGTTGTCAGGACGGTCCACAGATGAAACGTGCAAAAGTTTCGTGCGCATCGGACAAAGTGTGTAGGAGGAACCCGAAAAAGTCATTTATGGACATTTTGCGCTCTAGAAAAAAAAAAATCTAGGCGGAAGTGGGCGTGGCCTATATGGGGAGGTTCAGCTCCATTCACCGAACGCGTGGATATAAGGTTTTTGAATGTGAGACAAACTATGCGGGAGTTATTAGCGTATCGAAATTGGCCTACAAATAGCGCCACCTAGTGGCCTTCCTAGTGGCTGACCTGCATGTGACGCATAGAATCTCCAATTTAAATGAGGCTTGACAAATGTGCCAAATAAAATGCGAATATTTTAATTGTTAAGGGGGTGAAAAATGCGCTCAAAGTTCTCAAAAGTTAATAATAATAATAATAAACGAGGAAAAAAATAATATAATATTAAGACTGGCGGTCCCTAATTAAAGCTGCAAGCAGCGTTGGGCGGGACCTCGCACCCGGCGCTCGTCGGGGCGCGCCGCAAACGCGTCACGTGCGGTCGGGGTGCGCCGAGGCCACGCACGTGCCGTCGTAACAAGCGCGGACCGCAACGCGAATACGTCACGTAAATCTGCTCCAAATCAGCTCCGTATCGCCACGCAGCGCTTCCTTCCTGTTGCCAGTATGCTGTGCTTTCACTTTATCTGAATCTTGTCACGTAGACAAGTTCAGGGCGGGACTGTAATACGTAGGCTGATGTTATGAGGACGCGTTCAGGGCGAGACTGTTACAGAATATATGAAGTTTATTGGAAATTGGACATTGCACACTGAAGTTATGAGTACCGCTTAATGGAAAATCATCTGAATTCGACAAGGGGTCAGTGGCACGCAGTTTGACGTACAGTCACAAATAGCTCAATTCTTCATGTACACTTTGTTTTTATAAGACTGTCCAATTTTGAAGTCGATTTGATAAGTCCCCTATTTATCTTGCAATTTAATAAGTGACTTCCAGCGGTTTCCCACTATGCTCCACGAACAATACTCCCTAGGAAATATGGTTTGTAGATGTGGCTAGTGGGAGCGGAGGGGTGTTTGTGTTTCATCACTTTGAAAAAAAGACCACAGAATTCAAAATGTCCAACTTTGACGAGACACCTGGGACACGCCCTTCAACGTACAGTCATAAATAGCACAACTTGTAATCAGCAAGATTATTCAAGAGTACTGTCAAGTTTTGAAGCAGATCTGATAAAGTCTCAAGGAGTTTGTTTGTTCAAATACAGGACCACGGGCTTCAAAATGGCCAACTTTGACGGCACGCCACGGACACGCCCTTCAACGTACAGTCACAAAATGAAATGCGTTCATTCAGCACCATGTTGTGACTGTACTGCCCAATTTTGAAGAAGATCCGTTAGAACGTGTAGGAGGAGATCATTCAAATAGAAGCCCTGAAAGGCCAAAATGACATCACAGTGTGACATTTGTTCTAAATGGCCAACTTTGAGGGCACGCCACGGACACGCCCTTCAACGTACAGTCACAAAATATAATGCTTTCATTCAGCACCACGTTGTGACTGTACTGCCCAATTTTGAAGAAGATCCGTTAGAACGTGTCAGAGGAAATCATTCAAATAGAAGCCCTGAAAGGCCAAAATGACATCACAGTGTGACATTTGTTCTAAATGGCCAACTTTGAGGGCACGCCACGGACACGCCCTTCAACGTACAGTCACCAAATATATTGCGTTCATTCAGCCCCATGTTGTGACTGGACTGCCCAATTTTGAAGAAGATCCGATAGAAGCTGTAGGAGGGGATCATTCAAATAGAAGCCCTGAAATGCAAAAATGACATCACAGTGACATTTGTTCTAAATGGCCAACTTTGAGGGCACGCCACGGACACGCCCTTCAACGTACAGTCACAAAATATAATGCGTTCATTCAGCACCATGTTTTGACTGTACTGACCAATTTTGAAGCAGATCTGATAAATTCCCTAGGAGCAGTTAGTTCTAAAACAAGCCCAAAGAGTCAAAATGACCACAAAATGGCCGCCAAAAGTGCAAATTTTAAATGAAAATAGCCGACTTCCTGTGGGATTTGAGGTATGGGTCCAAGAGGCTTTTTTGTACGCCCCGGCACATTATACATGCCTATTGAGTTTCGTACATGTCGGTGAAACGTGGCGCCGGGGCTGATGTTTTTTTATCCTGTAGGGGGCGCTACAAGCAGGACAAACAGGATTTTTGGTATGTGAGCTTCAGGCACCACTCTACACGTGCCCTGTGAATTTCATATTCATAACTATTACGAGTGATTTATCATGCCAAAAGAGCACCACCTAGTGGCGTATTTTTTTTGTCCTTTTTAGGTGAGCCTCAGGGAGCCATGGGGAAGCAGCGTACCAAGTTTCATCTTAATCACACATACCGTTGTAGAGCTATAAACTCCTTCATTTTAAAGAGCGCCACCTTGTGGTGATGACCTGAAATTGTGCACGATGCTTAAGGAAGACATGGGGAACTATGGACCCAAGGTTGGTGTAAATCGGACATACCAATGTGGAGAAATACCCCACTTCCTTTTTTGACGAAAAATCAACAGGAAGTGCTAATTTTATAACTTCCTTATGTTTTATAATATCAAAATTCTTCAAATTACTTTTGTTGTCAGGACGGTCCACAGATGAAACGTGCAAAAGTTTCGTGCGCATCGGACAAAGTGTGTAGGAGGAACACGAAAAAGTCATTTATGGACATTTTGCGCTCTAGAAAAAAAAAAATCTAGGCGGAAGTGGGCGTGGCCTATATGGGGAGGTTCAGCTCCATTCACCGAACGCGTGGATATAAGGTTTTTGAATGTGAGACAAACTATGCGGGAGTTATTAGCGTAACGAAATTGGCCTACAAACAGCGCCACCTAGTGGCCTTCCTAGTGGCTGACCTGCATGTGACGCATAGAATCTCCAATTTAAATGAGGCTTGACAAATGTGCCAAATAAAATGCGAATATTTTAAATGGTTAAGGGGGTGAAAAATGCGCTCAAAGTTCTAAAAAATAATAATAATAATAATAATAATAAAAAGCCTTCCGTTCCTGGCTCGTCCCTAATTAAAGCAGCAAGCAGCGTTGGGCGGGACCTCGCACCCGGCGCTCGTCGGGGGCGCGCCGCAAACGCGTCACGTGCGGTCGGGGTGCGCCGAGGCCACGCCACGTGCCGTCGTAACAAGCGCGGACCGCAACGCGAATACGTCACGTAAATCTGCTCCAAATCAGCTCCGTATCGCCACGCAGCGCTTCCTTCCTGTTGCCAGTATGCTGTGCTTTCACTTTATCTGAATCTTGTCACGTAGACAAGTTCATGGCGGGACTGTAATACGTAGGCTGATGTTATGAGGACGCGTTCAGGGCGAGACTGTTACAGAATATATGAAGTTTATTGGAAATTGGACATTGCACACTGAAGTTATGAGTACCGCTTAATGGAAAATCATCTGAATTCGACAAGGGGTCAGTGGCACGCAGTTTGACGTACAGTCACAAATAGCTCAATTCTTCATGTACACTTTGTTTTTATAAGACTGTCCAATTTTGAAGTCGATTTGATAAGTCCCCTATTTATCTTGCAATTTAATAAGTGACTTCCAGCGGTTTCCCACTATGCTCCACGAACAATACTCCCTAGGAAATATGGTTTGTAGATGTGGCTAGTGGGAGCGGAGGGGTGTTTGTGTTTCATCACTTTGAAAAAAAGACCACAGAATTCAAAATGTCCAACTTTGACGAGACACCTGGGACACGCCCTTCAACGTACAGTCATAAATAGCACAACTTGTAATCAGCAAGATTATTCAAGAGTCCTGTCAAGTTTTGAAGCAGATCTGATCAATTCTCAAGGAGTTTGTTTGTTCAAATACAGGACCACGGGCTTCAAAATGGCCAACTTTGAGGGCACGCCACGGACACGCCCTTCAACGTACAGTCACAAAATATAATGCGTTCATTCAGCACCATGTTTTGACTGTACTGACCAATTTTGAAGCAGATCTGATAAATTCCCTAGGAGCAGTTAGTTCTAAAACAAGCCCAAAGAGTCAAAATGACCACAAAATGGCCGCCAAAAGTGCAAATTTTAAATGAAAATAGCCGACTTCCTGTGGGATTTGAGGTATGGGTCCAAGAGGCTTTTTTGTACGCCCCGGCACATTATACATGCCTATTGAGTTTCGTACATGTCGGTGAAACGTGGCGCCGGGGCTGATGTTTTTTTATCCTGTAGGGGGCGCTACAAGCAGGACAAACAGGATTTTTGGTATGTGAGCTTCAGGCACCACTCTACACGTACCCTGTGAATTTCATATTCATAACTATTACGAGTGATTTATCATGCCAAAAGAGCACCACCTAGTGGCGTGATTTTTTTGTCCTTTTTAGGTGAGCCTCAGGGAGCCATGGGGAAGCAGCGTACCAAGTTTCATCTTAATCACACATGCCGTTGTAGAGCTATAAACTCCTTCATTTTAAAGAGCGCCACCTTGTGGTGATGACCTGAAATTGTGCACGATGCATAAGGAAGACATGGGGAACTATGGACCCAAGGTTGGTGTAAATCGGACATACCAACGTGGAGAAATACCCCACTTCCTTTTTTGACGAAAAATCAACAGGAAGTGCTAATTGTATAACTTCCTTATGTTTTATAATATCAAAATTCTTCAAATTACTTTTGTTGTCAGGACGGTCCACAGATGAAACGTGCAAAGTTTCGTGCGCATCGGACAAAGTGTGTAGGAGGAACACGAAAAAGTGATTTATGGACATTTTGCGCTCTAGAAAAAAAAAAATCTAGGCGGAAGTGGGCGTGGCCTATATGGGGAGGTTCAGCTCCATTCACCGAACGCGTGGATATAAGGTTTTTGAATGTGAGACAAACTATGCGGGAGTTATTAGCGTATCGAAATTGGCCTACAAACAGCGCCACCTAGTGGCCTTCCTAGTGGCTGACCTGCATGTGACGCATAGAATCTCCAATTTAAATGAGGCTTGACAAATGTGCCAAATAAAATGCGAATATTTTTTAGAATTGTTAAGGGGGTGAAAAATAAGTCGCTAAAAAATAATAATAATAATAATAATAATAAACGAAGGAAAAACAATAGAGACCTTCCAGTTCATACTGGCTCGGTCCCTAATTAAAGCTGCAAGCAGCGTTGGGCGGGACCTCGCACCCGGCGCTCGTCGGGGCGGGCCGCAAACGCGTCACGTGCGGTCGGGGTGCGCCGAGGCCACGCCACGTGACGTCGCAGCAGCGCTTCCTTCCTGTTGCCAGTATGCTGTGCTTTCACTTTCTCTGAATCTTGTCACGTAGACAAGTTCAGGGCGGGACTGTAATACGTAGGCTGATGTTATGAGGACGCGTTCAGGGCGAGACTGTTACAGAATATATGAAGTTTATTGGAAATTGGACATTGCACACTGAAGTTATGAGTACCGTTTAATGGAAAATGGTCTGAATTTGACAAGGGGTCAGTGGCACGCAGTTTGACGTACAGTCACAAATAGCTCAATTCTTCATGTACACTTTGTTTTTATAAGACTGTCCAATTTTGAAGTCGATTTGATAAGTCCCCTATTTATCTCGCAATTTAATAAGTGACTTCCAGCGGTTTCACACTATGCTCCACGAACAATACTCCCTAGGAAATATGGTTTGTAGATGTGGCTAGTGGGAGCGGAGGGGTGTTTGTGTTTCATCACTTTGAAAAAAAAGACCACAGAATTCAAAATGTCCAACTTTGACGAGACACCTGGGACACGCCCTTCAACGTACAGTCATAAATAGCACAACTTGTAATCAGCAAGATTATTCAAGAGTACTGTCAAGTTTTGAAGCAGATCTGATCAATTCTCAAGGAGTTTGTTTGTTCAAATACAGGACCACGGGCTTCAAAATGGCCAACTTTGACGGCAGGCCACGGACACGCCCTTCAACGTACAGTCACAAAATGAAATGCGTTCATTCAGCACCATGTTGTGACTGTACTGCCCAATTTTGAAGAAGATCCGTTAGAACGTGTAGGAGGAAATCATTCAAATAGAAGCCCTGAAAGGCCAAAATGACATCACAGTGTGACATTTGTTCTAAATGGCCAACTTTGAGGGCACGCCACGGACACGCCCTTCAACGTACAGTCACAAAATATAATGCTTTCATTCAGCACCACGTTGTGACTGTACTGCCCAATTTTGAAGAAGATCCGTTAGAACGTGTCAGAGGAAATCATTCAAATAGAAGCCCTGAAAGGCCAAAATGACATCACAGTGTGACATTTGTTCTAAATGGCCAACTTTGAGGGCACGCCACGGACACGCCCTTCAACGTACAGTCACCAAATAATATTGCGTTCATTCAGCCCCATGTTGTGACTGGACTGCCCAATTTTGAAGAAGATCCGATAGAAGCTGTAGGAGGGGATCATTCAAATAGAAGCCCTGAAATGCAAAAATGACATCACAGTGACATTTGTTCTAAATGGCCAACTTTGAGGGCACGCCACGGACACGCCCTTCAACGTACAGTCACAAAATATAATGCGTTCATTCAGCACCATGTTTTGACTGTACTGACCAATTTTGAAGCAGATCTGATAAATTCCCTAGGAGCAGTTAGTTCTAAAACAAGCCCAAAGAGTCAAAATGACCACAAAATGGCCGCCAAAAGTGCAAATTTTAAATGAAAATAGCCGACTTCCTGTGGGATTTGAGGTATGGGTCCAAGAGGCTTTTTTGTACGCCCCGGCACATTATACATGCCTATTGAGTTTCGTACATGTCGGTGAAACGTGGCGCCGGGGCTGATGTTTTTTTATCCTGTAGGGGGCGCTACAAGCAGGACAAACAGGATTTTTGGTATGTGAGCTTCAGGCACCACTCTACACGTACCCTGTGAATTTCATATTCATAACTATTACGAGTGATTTATCATGCCAAAAGAGCACCACCTAGTGGCGTATTTTTTTTGTCCTTTTTAGGTGAGCCTCAGGGAGCCATGGGGAAGCAGCGTACCAAGTTTCATCTTAATCACACATACCGTTGTAGAGCTATAAACTCCTTCATTTTAAAGAGCGCCACCTTGTGGTGATGACCTGAAATTGTGCACGATGCTTAAGGAAGACATGGGGAACTATGGACCCAAGGTTGGTGTAAATCGGACATACCAATGTGGAGAAATACCCCACTTCCTTTTTTGACGAAAAATCAACAGGAAGTGCTAATTTTATAACTTCCTTATTTTTTATAATATCAAAATTCTTCAAATTACTTTTGTTGTCAGGACGGTCCACAGATGAAACGTGCAAAGTTTCGTGCGCATCGGACAAAGTGTGTAGGAGGAACACGAAAAGAGTCATTTATGGACATTTTGCGCTCTAGAAAAAAAAAAATCTAGGCGGAAGTGGGCGTGGCCTATATGGGGAGGTTCAGCTCCATTCACCGAACGCGTGGATATAAGGTTTTTGAATGTGAGACAAACTATGCGGGAGTTATTAGCGTATCGAAATTGGCCTACAAATAGCGCCACCTAGTGGCCTTCCTAGTGGCTGACCTGCATGTGACGCATAGAATCTCCAATTTAAATGAGGCTTGACAAATGTGCCAAATAAAATGCGAATATTTTAATTGTTAAGGGGGTGAAAAATGCGCTCAAAGTTCTAAAAAAATTAATAATAATAATAATAAACGAAGGAAAACAATAGAGACCTTCCGTTCATACTGGCTCGGTCCCTAATAATAAACGAAGGAAAAACAATAGAGACCTTCCAGTTCATACTGGCTCGGTCCCTAATAATAAACGAAGGAAAAACAATAGAGACCTTCCAGTTCATACTGGCTCGGTCCCTAATTAAAGCTGCAAGCAGCGTTGGGCGGGACCTCGCACCCGGCGCTCGTCGGGGCGCGCCGCAAACGCGTCACGTGCGGTCGGGGTGCGCCGAGGCCACGCCACGTGCCGTCGTAACAAGCGCGGACCGCAACGCGAACACGTCACGTAAATCTGCTCCAAATCAGCTCCGTATCGCCACGCAGCGCTTCCTTCCTGTTGCCAGTATGCTGTGCTTTCACTTTATCTGAATCTTGTCACGTAGACAAGTTCAGGGCGGGACTGTAATACGTAGGCTGATGTTATGAGGACGTGTTCAGGGCGAGACTGTTACAGAATATATGAAGTTTATTGGAAATTGGACATTGCACACTGAAGTTATGAGTACCGCTTAATGGAAAATCATCTGAATTCGACAAGGGGTCAGTGGCACGCGGTTTGACGTACAGTCACAAATAGCTCAATTCTTCATGTACACTTTGTTTTTATAAGACTGTCCAATTTTGAAGTCGATTTGATAAGTCCCCTATTTATCTTGCAATTTAATAAGTGACTTCCAGCGGTTTCCCACTATGCTCCACGAACAATACTCCCTAGGAAATATGGTTTGTAGATGTGGCTAGTGGGAGCGGAGGGGTGTTTGTGTTTCATCACTTTGAAAAAAAAGACCACAGAATTCAAAATGTCCAACTTTGACGAGACACCTGGGACACGCCCTTCAACGTACAGTCATAAATAGCACAACTTGTAATCAGCAAGATTATTCAAGAGTACTGTCAAGTTTTGAAGCAGATCTGATAAAGTCTCAAGGAGTTTGTTTGTTCAAATACAGGACCACGGGCTTCAAAATGGCCAACTTTGACGGCAGGCCACGGACACGCCCTTCAACGTACAGTCACAAAATGAAATGCGTTCATTCAGCACCATGTTGTGACTGTACTGCCCAATTTTGAAGAAGATCCGTTAGAACGTGTAGGAGGAGATCATTCAAATAGAAGCCCTGAAAGGCCAAAATGACATCACAGTGTGACATTTGTTCTAAATGGCCAACTTTGAGGGCACGCCACGGACACGCCCTTCAACGTACAGTCACAAAATATAATGCGTTCATTCAGCACCATGTTTTGACTGTACTGACCAATTTTGAAGCAGATCTGATAAATTCCCTAGGAGCAGTTAGTTCTAAAACAAGCCCAAAGAGTCAAAATGACCACAAAATGGCCGCCAAAAGTGCAAATTTTAAATGAAAATAGCCGACTTCCTGTGGGATTTGAGGTATGGGTCCAAGAGGCTTTTTTGTACGCCCCGGCACATTATACATGCCTATTGAGTTTCGTACATGTCGGTGAAACGTGGCGCCGGGGCTGATGTTTTTTTATCCTGTAGGGGGCGCTACAAGCAGGACAAACAGGATTTTTGGTATGTGAGCTTCAGGCACCACTCTACACGTGCCCTGTGAATTTCATATTCATAACTATTACGAGTGATTTATCATGCCAAAAGAGCACCACCTAGTGGCGTATTTTTTTTGTCCTTTTTAGGTGAGCCTCAGGGAGCCATGGGGAAGCAGCGTACCAAGTTTCATCTTAATCACACATACCGTTGTAGAGCTATAAACTCCTTCATTTTAAAGAGCGCCACCTTGTGGTGATGACCTGAAATTGTGCACGATGCTTAAGGAAGACATGGGGAACTATGGACCCAAGGTTGGTGTAAATCGGACATACCAATGTGGAGAAATACCCCACTTCCTTTTTTGACGAAAAATCAACAGGAAGTGCTAATTTTATAACTTCCTTATTTTTTATAATATCAAAATTCTTCAAATTACTTTTGTTGTCAGGACGGTCCACAGATGAAACGTGCAAAATTTCGTGCGCATCGGACAAAGTGTGTAGGAGGAACACGAAAAAGTCATTTATGGACATTTTGCGCTCTAGAAAAAAAAAAATCTAGGCGGAAGTGGGCGTGGCCTATATGGGGAGGTTCAGCTCCATTCACCGAACGCGTGGATATAAGGTTTTTGAATGTGAGACAAACTATGCGGGAGTTATTAGCGTATCGAAATTGGCCTACAAATAGCGCCACCTAGTGGCCTTCCTAGTGGCTGACCTGCATGTGACGCATAGAATCTCCAATTTAAATGAGGCTTGACAAATGTGCCAAATAAAATGCGAATATTTTAAATGTTTAGGGGGTGAAAAATGCGCTCAAAGTTCTGAAAAAAATAAAAATAATAATAATAATAATATAAACAAGGAAAACAATAGAGACCTTCCAGTTCATACTGCTGGTCCCTAATAATAATTAAAGCTGCAAGCAGCGTTGGGCGGGACCTCGCACCCGGCGCTCGTCGGGCGCGCCGCAAACGCGTCACGTGCGGTCGGGGTGCGCCGAGGCCACGCCACGTGCCGTCGTAACAAGCGCGGACCGCAACGCGAACACGTCACGTAAATCTGCTCCAAATCAGCTCCGTATCGCCACGCAGCGCTTCCTTCCTGTTGCCAGTATGCTGTGCTTTCACTTTATCTGAATCTTGTCACGTAGACAAGTTCAGGGCGGGACTGTAATACGTAGGCTGATGTTATGAGGACGCGTTCAGGGCGAGACTGTTACAGAATATATGAAGTTTATTGGAAATTGGACATTGCACACTGAAGTTATGAGTACCGCTTAATGGAAAATCATCTGAATTCGACAAGGGGTCAGTGGCACGCAGTTTGACGTACAGTCACAAATAGCTCAATTCTTCATGTACACTTTGTTTTTATAAGACTGTCCAATTTTGAAGTCGATTTGATAAGTCCCCTATTTATCTTGCAATTTAATAAGTGACTTCCAGCGGTTTCCCACTATGCTCCACGAACAATACTCCCTAGGAAATATGGTTTGTAGATGTGGCTAGTGGGAGCGGAGGGGTGTTTGTGTTTCATCACTTTGAAAAAAAAGACCACAGAATTCAAAATGTCCAACTTTGACGAGACACCTGGGACACGCCCTTCAACGTACAGTCATAAATAGCACAACTTGTAATCAGCAAGATTATTCAAGAGTACTGTCAAGTTTTGAAGCAGATCTGATAAATTCTCAAGGAGTTTGTTTGTTCAAATACAGGACCACGGGCTTCAATGGCTAAATGGCCAACTTTGACGGCACGCCACGGACACGCCCTTCAACGTACAGTCACAAAATGAAATGCGTTCATTCAGCACCATGTTGTGACTGTACTGCCCAATTTTGTAAGAAGATCCTTAGAACGTGTAGGAGGAGATCATTCAAATAGAAGCCCTGAAAGGCCAAAATGACATCACAGTGTGACATTTGTTCTAAATGGCCAACTTTGAGGGCACGCCACGGACACGCCCTTCAACGTACAGTCACCAAATATAATGCGTTCATTCAGCCCCATGTTGTGACTGGACTGCCCAATTTTGAAGAAGATCCGATAGAAGCTGTAGGAGGGGATCATTCAAATAGAAGCCCTGAAATGCAAAAATGACATCACAGTGACATTTGTTCTAAATGGCCAACTTTGAGGGCACGCCACGGACACGCCCTTCAACGTACAGTCACAAAATATAATGCGTTCATTCAGCACCATGTTTTGACTGTACTGACCAATTTTGAAGCAGATCTGATAAATTCCCTAGGAGCAGTTAGTTCTAAAACAAGCCCAAAGAGTCAAAATGACCACAAAATGGCCGCCAAAAGTGCAAATTTTAAATGAAAATAGCCGACTTCCTGTGGGATTTGAGGTATGGGTCCAAGAGGCTTTTTTGTACGCCCCGGCACATTATACATGCCTATTGAGTTTCGTACATGTCGGTGAAACGTGGCGCCGGGGCTGATGTTTTTTTATCCTGTAGGGGGCGCTACAAGCAGGACAAACAGGATTTTTGGTATGTGAGCTTCAGGCACCACTCTACACGTACCCTGTGAATTTCATATTCATAACTATTACGAGTGATTTATCATGCCAAAAGAGCACCACCTAGTGGCGTGATTTTTTTTGTCCTTTTTAGGTGAGCCTCAGGGAGCCATGGGGAAGCAGCGTACCAAGTTTCATCTTAATCACACATACCGTTGTAGAGCTATAAACTCCTTCATTTTAAAGAGCGCCACCTTGTGGTGATGACCTGAAATTGTGCACGATGCTTAAGGAAGACATGGGGAACTATGGACCCAAGGTTGGTGTAAATCGGACATACCAATGTGGAGAAATACCCCACTTCCTTTTTTGACGAAAAATCAACAGGAAGTGCTAATTTTATAACTTCCTTATGTTTTATAATATCAAAATTCTTCAAATTACTTTTGTTGTCAGGACGGTCCACAGATGAAACGTGCAAAGTTTCGTGCGCATCGGACAAAGTGTGTAGGAGGAACACGAAAAAGTCATTTATGGACATTTTGCGCTCTAGAAAAAAAAAAAATCTAGGCGGAAGTGGGCGTGGCCTATATGGGGAGGTTCAGCTCCATTCACCGAACGCGTGGATATAAGGTTTTTGAATGTGAGACAAACTATGCGGGAGTTATTAGCGTATCGAAATTGGCCTACAAATAGCGCCACCTAGTGGCCTTCCTAGTGGCTGACCTGCATGTGACGCATAGAATCTCCAATTTAAATGAGGCTTGACAAATGTGCCAAATAAAATGCGAATATTATAATTGTTAAGGGGGTGAAAAATGCGAGCTCAAAGTCTCTAAAAAAATAATAATAATAATAATAATAACGAGGAAACATAGGTTTTATAATAATAATAAACGAAGGAAAAACAATAGAGACCTTCCAGTTCATACTGGCTCGGTCCCTAATTAAAGCTGCAAGCAGCGTTGGGCGGGACCTCGCACCCGGCGCTCGTCGGGGCGCGCCGCAAACGCGTCACGTGCGGTCGGGGTGCGCCGAGGCCACGCCACGTGCCGTCGTAACAAGCGCGGACCGCAACGCGAATACGTCACGTAAATCTGCTCCAAATCAGCTCCGTATCGCCACGCAGCGCTTCCTTCCTGTTGCCAGTATGCTGTGCTTTCACTTTATCTGAATCTTGTCACGTAGACAAGTTCAGGGCGGGACTGTAATACGTAGGCTGATGTTATGAGGACGTGTTCAGGGCGAGACTGTTACAGAATATATGAAGTTTATTGGAAATTGGACATTGCACACTGAAGTTATGAGTACCGCTTAATGGAAAATCATCTGAATTCGACAAGGGGTCAGTGGCACGCAGTTTGACGTACAGTCACAAATAGCTCAATTCTTCATGTACACTTTGTTTTTATAAGACTGTCCAATTTTGAAGTCGATTTGATAAGTCCCCTATTTATCTTGCAATTTAATAAGTGACTTCCAGCGGTTTCACACTATGCTCCACGAACAATACTCCCTAGGAAATATGGTTTGTAGATGTGGCTAGTGGGAGCGGAGGGGTGTTTGTGTTTCATCACTTTGAAAAAAAGACCACAGAATTCAAAATGTCCAACTTTGACGAGACACCTGGGACACGCCCTTCAACGTACAGTCATAAATAGCACAACTTGTAATCAGCAAGATTATTCAAGAGTACTGTCAAGTTTTGAAGCAGATCTGATAAAGTCTCAAGGAGTTTGTTTGTTCAAATACAGGACCACGGGCTTCAAAATGGCCAACTTTGACGGCACGCCACGGACACGCCCTTCAACGTACAGTCACAAAATGAAATGCGTTCATTCAGCACCATGTTGTGACTGTACTGCCCAATTTTGAAGAAGATCCGTTAGAACCTGTAGGAGGAGATCATTCAAATAGAAGCCCTGAAAGGCCAAAATGACATCACAGTGTGACATTTGTTCTAAATGGCCAACTTTGAGGGCACGCCACGGACACGCCCTTCAACGTACAGTCACAAAATATAATGTTCTTCGCCCACGTTGTGCTGTACTGCCCAATTTTGAAGAAGACGGAATGTGGTTAATGTAAGCAACGGTTTTTTAATTTAGGGCACGCCACGGCAACTCAAAATATATTGCGTTCATTCAGCCCCATGTTGTGACTGGACTGCCCAATTTTGAAGAAGATCCGATAGAAGCTGTAGGAGGGGCATCATTCAAATAGAAGCCCTGAAATGCAAAAATGACATCACAGTGTGACATTTGTTCTAAATGGCCAACTTTGAGGGCACGCCACGGACACGCCCTTCAACGTACAGTCACAAAATATAATGCGTTCATTCAGCACCATGTTTTGACTGTACTGACCAATTTTGAAGCAGATCTGATAAATTCCCTAGGAGCAGTTAGTTCTAAAACAAGCCCAAAGAGTCAAAATGACCACAAAATGGCCGCCAAAAGTGCAAATTTTAAATGAAAATAGCCGACTTCCTGTGGGATTTGAGGTATGGGTCCAAGAGGCTTTTTTGTACGCCCCGGCACATTATACATGCCTATTGAGTTTCGTACATGTCGGTGAAACGTGGCGCCGGGGCTGATGTTTTTTTATCCTGTAGGGGGCGCTACAAGCAGGACAAACAGGATTTTTGGTATGTGAGCTTCAGGCACCACTCTACACGTGCCCTGTGAATTTCATATTCATAACTATTTTACGAGTGATTTATCATGCCAAAAGAGCACCACCTAGTGGCGTGATTTTTTTGTCCTTTTTAGGTGAGCCTCAGGGAGCCATGGGGAAGCAGCGTACCAAGTTTCATCTTAATCACACATACCGTTGTAGAGCTATAAACTCCTTCATTTTAAAGAGCGCCACCTTGTGGTGATGACCTGAAATTGTGCACGATGCTTAAGGAAGACATGGGGAACTATGGACCCAAGGTTGGTGTAAATCGGACATACCAATGTGGAGAAATACCCCACTTCCTTTTTTGACGAAAAATCAACAGGAAGTGCTAATTTTATAACTTCCTTATTTTTTAAAATATCAAAATTCTTCAAATTACTTTTGTTGTCAGGACGGTCCACAGATGCTACGTGCAAAATTTCGTGCGAATCGGACAAAGTGTGTAGGAGGAACACGAAAACAGTCATTTATGGACATTTTGCGCTCTAGAAAAAAAAAAATCTAGGCGGAAGTGGGCGTGGCCTATATGGGGAGGTTCAGCTCCATTCACCGAACGCGTGGATATAAGGTTTTTGAATGTGAGACAAACTATGCGGGAGTTATTAGCGTATCGAAATTGGCCTACAAATAGCGCCACCTAGTGGCCTTCCTAGTGGCTGACCTGCATGTGACGCATAGAATCTCCAATTTAAATGAGGCTTGACAAATGTGCCAAATAAAATGCGAATATTATAAATGTTTAGGGGGGTGAAAAATGCGCTCAAAGTTCTAAAAAAATAATAATAATAATAATAAACATAGGAAAAACAATATGGACCTTCCAGTTCATACTGGCTCGGTCCCTAATTAAAGCTGCAAGCAGCGTTGGGCGGGACCTCGCACCCGGCGCTCGTCGGGGCGCGCCGCAAACGCGTCACGTGCGGTCGGGGTGCGCCGAGGCCACGCCACGTGCCGTCGTAACAAGCGCGGACCGCAACGCGAATACGTCACGTAAATCTGCTCCAAATCAGCTCCGTATCGCCACGCAGCGCTTCCTTCCTGTTGCCAGTATGCTGTGCTTTCACTTTATCTGAATCTTGTCACGTAGACAAGTTCAGGGCGGGACTGTAATACGTAGGCTGATGTTATGAGGACGCGTTCAGGGCGAGACTGTTACAGAATATATGAAGTTTATTGGAAATTGGACATTGCACACTGAAGTTATGAGTACCGCTTAATGGAAAATCATCTGAATTCGACAAGGGGTCAGTGGCACGCAGTTTGACGTACAGTCACAAATAGCTCAATTCTTCATGTACACTTTGTTTTTATAAGACTGTCCAATTTTGAAGTCGATTTGATAAGTCCCCTATTTATCTTGCAATTTAATAAGTGACTTCCAGCGGTTTCACACTATGCTCCACGAACAATACTCCCTAGGAAATATGGTTTGTAGATGTGGCTAGTGGGAGCGGAGGGGTGTTTGTGTTTCATCACTTTGAAAAAAAAGACCACAGAATTCAAAATGTCCAACTTTGACGAGACACCTGGGACACGCCCTTCAACGTACAGTCATAAATAGCACAACTTGTAATCAGCAAGATTATTCAAGAGTACTGTCAAGTTTTGAAGCAGATCTGATAAAGTCTCAAGGAGTTTGTTTGTTCAAATACAGGACCACGGGCTTCAAAATGGCCACCTTTGACGGCACGCCACGGACACGCCCTTCAACGTACAGTCACAAAATATAATGCGTTCATTCAGCACCATGTTGTGACTGTACTGCACAATTTTGAAGAAGATCCGTTAGAACGTGTAAGGAGAGATCATTCAAATAGAAGCCCTGAAAGGCCAAAATGACATCACAGTGTGACATTTGTTCTAAATGGCCAACTTTGAGGGCACGCCACGGACACGCCCTTCAACGTACAGTCACAAAATATAATGCGTTCATTCAGCACCACGTTGTGACTGTACTGCCCAATTTTGAAGAAGATCCGTGAGAACCTGTAGGAGGAGATCATTCAAATAGAAGCCCTGAAAGGCCAAAATGACATCACAGTGTGACATTTGTTCTAAATGGCCAACTTTGAGGGCACGCCACGGACACGCCCTTCAACGTACAGTCACAAAATATAATGCGTTCATTCAGCACCATGTTGTGACTGGACTGCCCAATTTTGAAGAAGATCCGATAGAAGCTGTAGGAGGGCATCATTCAAATAGAAGCCCTGAAATGCAAAAATGACATCACAGTGTGACATTTGTTCTAAATGGCCAACTTTGAGGGCACGCCACGGACACGCCCTTCAACGTACAGTCACAAAATATAATGCGTTCATTCAGCACCATGTTTTGACTGTACTGACCAATTTTGAAGCAGATCTGATAAATTCCCTAGGAGCAGTTAGTTCTAAAACAAGCCCAAAGAGTCAAAATGACCACAAAATGGCTGCCAAAAGTGCAAATTTTAAATGAAAATAGCCGACTTCCTGTGGGATTTGAGGTATGGGTCCAAGAGGCTTTTTTGTACGCCCCGGCACATTATACATGCCTATTGAGTTTCGTACATGTCGGTGAAACGTGGCGCCGGGGCTGATGTTTTTTTATCCTGTAGGGGGCGCTACAAGCACGACAAACACGATTTTTGGTATGTGAGCTTCAGGCACCACTCTACACGTGCCCTGTGAATTTCATATTCATAACTATTATGGTGTCGCACAGTGATTTATCATGCCAACAAGAGCGCCACCTAGTGGCGTGATTTTTTTTGTCCTTTTTAGGTGAGCCTCAGGGAGCCATGGGGAAGCAGCGTACCAAGTTTCATCTTAATCACACATACCGTTGTAGAGCTATAAACTCCTTCATTTTAAAGAGCGCCACCTTGTGGTGATGACCTGAAATTGTGCACGATGCCTAAGGAAGACATGGGGAACTATGGACCCAAGGTTGGTGTAAATCGGACATACCAATGTGGAGAAATACCCCACTTCCTTTTTTGACGAAAAATCAACAGGAAGTGCTAATTTTATAACTTCCTTATTTTTTAAAATATCAAAATTCTTCAAATTACTTTTGTTGTCAGGACGGTCCACAGATGCTACGTGCAAAATTTCGTGCGAATCGGACAAAGTGTGTAGGAGGAACACGAAAAAGTCATTTATGGACATTTTGCGCTCTAGAAAAAAAAAAAATCTAGGCGGAAGTGGGCGTGGCCTATATGGGGAGGTTCAGCTCCATTCACCGAACGCGTGGATATAAGGTTTTTGAATGTGAGACAAACTATGCGGGAGTTATTAGCGTATCGAAATTGGCCTACAAATAGCGCCACCTAGTGGCCTTCCTAGTGGCTGACCTGCATGTGACGCATAGAATCTCCAATTTAAATGAGGCTTGACAAATGTGCCAAATAAAATGCGAATATTATAATTGTTAAGGGGGTGAAAAATGCGCTCAAAGTTCTGAAAAATAAAAATAATAATAATAATAAACATAGGAAAAACAATAGAGACCTTCCAGTTCATACTGGCTCGGTCCCTAATTAAAGCTGCAAGCAGCGTTGGGCGGGACCTCGCACCCGGCGCTCGTCGGGGCGCGCCGCAAACGCGTCACGTGCGGTCGGGGTGCGCCGAGGCCACGCACGTGCCGTCGTAACAAGCGCGGACCGCAACGCGAACACGTCACGTAAATCTGCTCCAAATCAGCTCCGTATCGCCACGCAGCGCTTCCTTCCTGTTGCCAGTATGCTGTGCTTTCACTTTATCTGAATCTTGTCACGTAGACAAGTTCAGGGCGGGACTGTAATACGTAGGCTGATGTTATGAGGACGCGTTCAGGGCGAGACTGTTACAGAATATATGAAGTTTATTGGAAATTGGACATTGCACACTGAAGTTATGAGTACCGCTTAATGGAAAATCATCTGAATTCGACAAGGGGTCAGTGGCACGCAGTTTGACGTACAGTCACAAATAGCTCAATTCTTCATGTACACTTTGTTTTTATAAGACTGTCCAATTTTGAAGTCGATTTGATAAGTCCCCTATTTATCTTGCAATTTAATAAGTGACTTCCAGCGGTTTCCCACTATGCTCCACGAACAATACTCCCTAGGAAATATGGTTTGTAGATGTGGCTAGTGGGAGCGGAGGGGTGTTTGTGTTTCATCACTTTGAAAAAAAAGACCACAGAATTCAAAATGTCCAACTTTGACGAGACACCTGGGACACGC